GGTGCCTGTTTTTTGTAAGCACAGAGGGACTGTCGCAGTATTACTTATGGAAGTTGCGGTAGGTGGTGACGTGGGCCCAATAGCTCGTCCATCCCACGTGACAAGGGGTTTGATGTTATCAAAGGCAAACATCCGCCTCATTAGGCCGTCAGTCTTTTTTGCGATAATCGGCACAATGCCTTTTTGGCCTTGTGTTCTATGCAAAAGTGCCAGACTACGCGGAGTTGCAATGTGGACATTTCTTAGTAGAGCACGGGCTTAGCCTAAGAAAACGTCAGTCTCGCTTTGCATTGCTTTGTGTTCTCATCGCTTTCTCTGATCTCCTTCGTCTATCTCTGAGATAGAATCAGGGTAGACCCCAGTGCTGAGGATAGTACACGAACCTGAACGAATGCCGCCCAGTCTACAGTCTCGTTGTAAAGGCAGTTTACACCTCCTCCTAGATGTTGTAGCAATTTAGTCATGGAGCAATAATTTTGCCAGACAATTTTTTTGGCTCTCTAAAGTTTAACCTACCTCGGTAACTCGCAACTGCCGTACACGCGGACATAGGCTAAGATTTAATTCCCTGGAGTAGCTTTGTCCGTACGTAGTCCGTATTTGCGGTAGGTCAGTGGATCGAGCATTCTCAGTGGACAAATACATTGTAAGTGTCCCACCTCATATAGAAGAGGGGCTGATAGAAATTACTTTTACATATGAGATTGTTTAAATATTTGTGATCTGTCGAATGCAACTAGCTTTTAGTTTCCGAGCATACACTCCTCGTGACCCCGAAGGTAGAACGGCAGAGGGGAAGTCACTGGTTGCATCGTTTTTGCGGCTCACGCTACCATCTCTAGTTTTGTGGTCAGTTTGTGAGGCTCAAGCTGCGTTGCATCTAGCTCCCATTCGTAGAGTTCAGCAAGGTTACAAGTTTAGACACCTTTCCAAATACTTATATATTTCCAAGAAAAGGCGTATTTTGGGAAAATTAGGAAAATTAGTTCAGTAAATTCTCGACACTGGATCCCTAGGTCATTGGTAGACTTGGAAAAATGGATATATATGTCAGAGTCGAGAATGCTCGAAGCTAAGCTAAGAAGATACGGACAGAACACACATTTGTGGCAATTTCTATTGGTGTTTAGTCAGCGGATACCATGTCCACATTTACATATTAATTTATTTATTGCCAGTTTACAGGCAAGGTCAAAATTGGGTTACTTGGTAAAGCACCTCTTGGGAGCCTTTCAAACCTCGAAGAAAGGAAAAACCTAAAGGAAACTCTCTTTTTACAGTCAGTATTGATTTACTTTGAGTTTTGTGATTGGCCAATAGTGAGCGAAATAGGGAGTTTGTTTCAAGTGAAAAAAGCAGGCTTCAAAGGTATGATATAAGCAAAAGATATGCACAGTTTTAGGTCGAGTTGACAGTTTAGCAGAAAAAAAACTGCAGCTCGTTGCGTCACTGTAGTTCGGGACGGGGGAGGGTTGACACAGGAACACAGTGTTCTCAGTTTTCCTTGAGTATAATGGTTTCAAGATTATGCACCAGAGGAATGTGTGTCGACGAACAGTTTCTCGCTGTCGGCTGAAGAATTAGCCGATTGCGGGCCGCAGATTCAGCAACATTGTCCTCAGCATGAGGCCTGGCAGGGTTCAAAGTCCACGAACACCATCAGAGTGAAAGAGATATTCCACTGAGTCAGCACCCGAAATTCTTGAAAGTTGTCCTGACTCAGAAAAAAAGCGTAACTGTTCCCACTGCAGTCTACGACATTCCCTTATCTGAATTGAGTGCTGTCCGGCAATGTGAAATCCAAACTCCCATACATCCTAGTGATTAATTTTCGATTTTATTTCCTTAATATTTTCAATCGCAGATAACGCTCTCAGTGTATCGGGATCCCCTAGGTATTGCTCCGGCTGAGACTGTCATTTGTGTTACACAGTTGCAGTAGCGGCCAATATAGATCGAATAGACTCTGATCAGAAGTCGGGCAGTTTATTAAGCAAGGAGGAAATAGAGATAGTGGTTATAAATTGATACAGAGCTGTTTTGCACTTCTACTGTCTTTATTCAGCGAATCACACGGGCAACACGAGGAAGAACGGCCGCACCCTGCATTTTTTAGGGGATTTTAGGTGCCCGGTGAAAACATTTCAGTCCGAATAGCATCTTCCGCGGTTCAGTTTAAATTCGAAATTTGCCGAATTCACTGCCGAAATCCGCAAAATAGTATTGAGTTATCCTTAAGCATATAAAATAGTCAGCGCCTGCAGATTAGTTCGTGCAAAAACACAGGATTAAATATTTATAAGCAGCACTGGTTTTCGGATGAAAAAACATAACTTTGAAAGAATTTGCAAATCAAGCATCATAATCAATCTACTCGGTAAAACGAGCACTATTTGACCAAAATATGGTTAAACCTCCACAGCATCAAAACTCTGACCTCCACCTGAAAACACAAAGACAAAGATGCGTTCATATACAACGCAGATGGTCCACAGACTGGGTTCCAGCAGACGGATCATGAGGATTTAATCGAATCTGGGTACCTGTCATTCACTGTGGCTGCCGATCGGGTGTTTACACAGACAGGAATGACCTATTCGCAAAGTTCACTATTGATATGGAATTTGTCAGCTTTGGGGAACTATTAACTCCGTTTACGTCCGTTCCTAATCTATTCAGTGATATCGATCGATGAAGGGGCGGAATATGAAGTCAAGCATTTTAGGTCCTCAGAAATTTGCCGTGGACACAGTGCAATACTAGATGTTTCCTCATCCCTTTTGCGTAAGCTGAACGACGAAAACATTATACACTGACGGTTGAATAGAAAAAAAATAAAGTATCAAGCAGAATTTAATGGCGTAGGCATTTTAAGGACCCTTCTCTCTCTGTGGTGGTCATATTC